CGACCACAAATGTGGCCGCGTGCTTCCGGGAGCTGGGTTTTATAGTCTCTGAGTTTTGGCCATTGATGGGATTACATAACGCTAGGGGGCCAGTTGGTGGGTGTGACCCCTGTCTACTGGAATTTGGAGGATCTGGGTGAGCATCCTCCACCCAGATCCTGAGATACACACTGGCTTGTAAACTGACATTGCCTCAATGAATAAAATATGACAGGGACTGGAGAGGTAGCACAGGGGGAAGGCTCTTGCCTTGCCCTAAGTCATGCCAGGTTTGATCCTGATGCTCTAGATGGTCCCTGGAGTCCCACTCAGAGTACTCTCTGAGTACAGAGTCAGGAGTAAGCTCAGAGTACAGCAGCTGTGTTCCCTTTGCCCCCCTACCCCGCCCAAAGTGCTGCTTTCATCTTCTACCACAAAATAAGGATTTTGAGATTGAGTTTAGTGAGATGATATGCTATGAGTTAGCAATGTAGACCTTCGGTTCAGGGAAAATGAAGGTTTTTGTCTGCATTTGCTGAATCTGGTAACTAGTCTCAGTATTTAATGCACCAAATGTAGAACTTTACCATACACATGGTGATTTAAAAATAATAAATATATTTCCCATTAGTTCTTAAACTCTTGCAAATAAATGAAAAGCACATGCGAGAGTTGAAGAGATAGTACAGGTGGTAAAGAGCTTGCCTTACAAGCAGTCAACCAAGTTCCATCCCCCATACAACATAGGGTCCCTCAGGTGCCATCAGAGACCACTTCTTAGCACAGAGCAGGGAATAGTCCTGAGCACCACTGGGTGTGACCCAGCACCTCTTGCCCCCCTAAGCACACGTATACTATTATATGATCTCTTTATTTGTACAATTATGCATTGTTTTTTGTATGTTGGACAGTTATTCCTAGAAAAATTGTAGACTTTCTGCTGTAGAGACCAACTCTTCATGAAAACCAACACTAGACTTCAATTTTCTGCCCTTTAAGTCATCCTTCCACACCCAGAGGTGCCTGGAACCTGGCTTAATACTTAGCACAGTGTTTTGAGCTCCCTTAGATGTATCCTGAACAGTTTCTGGATTGAATGAAATTGTTGATGTTTTAATCATAATTACACTAGGTTCAGATATGTAGGAACCGAAGGGAAATAGAGACTTCCCCTCAGACTTAAATAGATCATGGCCTTGGTCATTCCCTGTTTTTCAAACGTTCTAGAATTCTGCTCTAATCTTGATTAGCTGGCACTGAGGGTTTTCTACATGCCCATGGCTGGGGCATGGGTGCTGTGTGGAATGTGAGAATACCTACATTTCAGTTCCATGGCCATTACCTCCTTCCCTAGGAAGGCAATAATGTCTATAAATTATTTAGACCTGGAGCTGGAGAAATAGCACAGTGGGGAGGGCGATTGCCTTGCCTTGCACGCGGCTGATCCAGGTTCGATCCCCAGCATCCTATAACGGTCCCCCGATCACCGCCAGGAGTAAATAACCCCTGAGCATAGCTGGATGTGACCCAAAAAGCAAAACAAAAATTATTCATACCCTTGAAAATATGGATAAAATACAGATAAATCTGGTTTCATTCTTGAGAAGGCTCCTTCACCAATCAACCTGGTCAGAGCCTAGGGTTTTCAAACAACTCTCTCATTCCTTTTGTTGTTGTTTTGGCATCATACCTGGCTGTTCTCAGGGATCCCCCTGGATCTCTTGTCAGGAATCTCTCCTGGCCGGCTCAGGAAAACACATGGGGTGTCAGGGATTGCAGTGGGGTGGACAGGATGCAAAGCCAAGTGCTTCTCTGCTGTGCCATCTATCTGGGTCCCCAACAACCCTCTCTTTCTCGGAAGAAACAAGTGGTTTTGTCTGCTCCCTTGATGCTGAGCTAGGGTTGGGGTTATATTTTCTACTAATACTAATTATTCTCTGAGTTCTCCTCCTGGACAGCTGCTAGCCAGTGTTGGACCTACACAAGCATTGGTGAGATTGGCAGGTTGCCCCCTAGGACGCTCCTTTAGAAAATGGAATTCTGAATGTATGAACAGCCTCCTACATCAGCTGAGAGTAAACTAAGGGTCAGGGAATATTTTCTTGTTTTTGCGGTGGCAGGGATAGTTTTCTTGTTGTGTGTGTGGGGTTTTATAGATCCCCTTACCAATGTTGGTGATTCTGGCTTTGCATTCTTCTGGGAAGCAGAAGCCTCTAGATTAGCTTCGATCTCTCACAAATGCAATTTGTTCAGAATGCTTGCTGAAATGGGGTGTGTGTGGGAGGGCAATGGGCATTTTGGTTTAGTATTTTGCAATCTTGCTGACGTCAGTCCTCTAGGAAGGAGATTTTAAAAATTATCTTCAACTTCTTTTTCTTTATCTTTTTTTGCTTTCTTTTTTAAAATGTCAGTGGTGGGATGATGCAGCCTTTTTTTTTTTTTTACTTTTTTTTCCCCTTTATTTTATTTTATTTTTTTTTACAGTTGTAGATTTACAATTTTTTGTGCTTTGGTTTCAATTATACAATGATCAGATACCCATCCCTCCACCAGTGCCCATTTTCCACCACCATGGATAATATCCCTCCCACCCCCATCCCCCCATCCCCCCTGTCTCTGTGGCAGGGCAATCCCCTGTGTTCTCTCTTTCCTTTTGGGTGTTGTGGTCTGCAAAAGAGGCATTGAGTGGCAAACATGTTCAGTCCATAGTCTACTTTCGACATGCATCTCCCCTCCTGGGAGGATCCTCCAAACATCCTTTATTTGGTGCTCCCTTCTCTATCTGAACTGCCCTTTCCTCTAGGATACCCGGCTGGCCTCTAAGTTATGGAGTAATCCTCCTGGTGCTGATCTCAGCTATTCTTGGGTATTAATCTCATACTTTGTTACTTTATATCCCCCAGATGAATGCAATCTTTCTATGTCTATCCCTCTCTTTCTGACTCATTTCGCTTAGCATGATACTTTCCATATTGTACCACTTGTATGTAAATTTCATGACTTCATCTTTTCTAACAGCTACATAGTACTCCATTGTGTAGATGTACCAAAGTTTCTTTAACCAGTCATCTGTTCGTGGGCATTCAGGTTTCTTCCAGTTTCTGGCTATTGTAAAGAGTGGATGCAGCCTTTTTACTTGAAAAGGATACACAGAGAGTGACTATGTTTCTTTCTTTTTTTTTTTTTTGGTAGGAGTACTGCTATTTATTCAGCCACTGATTAGCTGATTGAATTGTGCATGAACTCCACCTTACTTTTTTTTTCTTTTTCCATTTTTTATAATTTTATTTATTGAATCACCATGAGAGCAGTTACAAAGCTTTTGGGTCTAAGTCTCAGTCATACAATAAAACACCCATACCTTCACCAGTGCCCATTCTCCACCACCAAAAATCCCAGTATACCCCCATCCCACACCCTCCCCCTGCCTGTGGGGCAGATGATTTCTACATTACTCTCTCTCTACTTTGATCACATTCACTATTTCGACACCAGACCCACCATTATTTAAGATTTTATCCCAACACTCAGATCTGCTGAAAAGGCAACAATAGACAATTTGTGTTCTATTGCTGGTTATGAATAACATATGATGTCGTGTGGCTGCAGTAGGGCCATGTGGTTTTGAAGTTCTGAAATTTTAACACTTAAATCTGGAGGAATTTCTGCCAAAAGCCACTGGGTTTAGAGATCTGCTCCTGAGTCTCTGGGATCTTGGCCGTTGAGCAGCTTGATGAGGAGCCAAAGAGGCCATTCATGGGCGATGACTTGGGGTCTCATTGGGGTGGGGAAGACAGGCCCGGCTCCACCTTCACCCCATCCCATGAGACCCAACAAGTTTCGTCACTGCGGGCCCAAGCCTGACTGTCCAATGGCCTCTGGAGGATGACAGCCGCCAAGTCGCCAAGAGGGAGAAGGTGGAGGGACAGCACCCATTCCCCTCTGGGGTGGCCCGGCGACAGTAACCTACTGCGGGGTCCGGACACATTTCTGACAAAAGCTGCTGGGTTTCGAGATTTGTTTCTGAGTCTCTGGGATCAAGGCCGTTGAGCAGCTTGATGAGGAGCCAGAGAGGCCATTCGTGGGCGATGAGTTGGGGTCTCATTGGGGTGGGGAGGACAAGCCCGGCTCCACCCTCGTCCCCTGAGGCCCTGTGTGTCTCATCACTGGGAGCCCAAATGTGACTATCCAGTGGCCTCAGACGGATGGCGGCCGCTGGGATGCCAGGGGGAATAGGCCAAGGCACGAAACCTATTCCCACCTGGGTTGGCCCAGCACCGGTAGCCTACTGCAGAGACCAGACGCATTTCTACCTAAAGCCACTGGGTTCTGAGATTCGTTTCTGAGTCTCTGGGATCATGTCCATTAAGCAGTTCAATCAGGAACCAAAGAGGCCTTGCCTCCAATTATATAGCTGAGCTGGAGGTGGTTTGTGGGTGTGTCTCCCACATACCTAACTTTTGGCCGTTTACTTTCTTGTTAAACTTTGCCCCAAGTTTTTGGGGTCTGACCAAAGGCACAGCAGCAATTTTGGGGTATCTGGAAGTCTGAAGGCGCCATGAGGCTGCTGATGCACTCGCCTCACAGGTACAGATTGACCTGCTGGCGGCACCATACCCCCAGACTATGTTTCTTTAGGAAATTTTATCTTCAACATTTCTTATTTCACAATCTTAATTTCAAATTTAAAGCTAAAGGGTGTTGAGAATCAAAGTACTGTGCTTAGGGGCTGGAGTGATAGTATAGCAGGTAGGGCATTGGTCTTGCAAGCAGCCGACCTGGGTTTTATCCCTGAAATTCCATATGATCTCCCAAGCACTGCCAGGAGTAATTCCTACCTGAAGAGCCAAGAGTAATTCCTAAGCATCACTGGGTGTGACCCCCCAAAAAGACTACCCATATCCCTCAGAAAATTGTACTTTCTAGATATCGATAAGAAGTATGTGGGAAGGTTTAAAAAAATACTCTACTTATTTTATATGACAAATAATACTTTATTGACTTTAACTTTATCTCTTTAGATAACGTGCACTACCCTGTTTCTGTCAGTGTTGATCCGTGTACGTCACTGATGAGCGGCAAAGGATATTTGCATTTTTCCTACATTCCAAGTAAGTTCAAGGCATAAGAACTATCAATGATAAATGGTGTGTTCAAAATGTACATGTGTTAGTTTTGTATTGCTGTAAGATTGTGCTAGCAAATTACCACAAAATTACTTGCTTATATTGAGATATTATTATTTTGTAGTCTTTGTATATCAGTAGTTTCTATGTCAGAGCTTAGGTATATTTGTTTCAAATCTCCCACAAGGTTGAAGGACTAAAGTCTCAGTTATAGAAGGATTCACTTTTGAAGTGATGCATTTGTAGACAGTATTCAATTATTACTGTCTGTTGGCTGACTATTAGCTTCTTTCTATGTGAGTCTTTAGATGCTACTCTTTTGGGTGGGTATTGGGTGTTGGGCAACATTTGTTGATACTCAAAGACTACTTCTGGCTCTTCCCTCAGAAATTACTTCTAGTGTTGTTAGGGCATCATATGGGATTGTCAAGGATCAAAGTTAGGTTGGCTGTGTGCAGTGCAAGCTCCCAACCCACTGTACTACCACTCTAGCCCTCAGTCCCTATTTTTTTTCTTTTTTTTTTCTGGGCTGGCATTTGAACTCTCAGTTTCACAAATGCAAAAGAAGTTCTCTACCATTGAGCCACGTCTTGACCAGATCATTTTTTTTTTTACAAAAATGGTTCCTCCAACTCAAATGCCCAATATGGATAAATGAATCAATAAATTGTGGTATATATTCACAATATAATATTGTGTAGCTCTAAGAAAGGATAAAATCATATGATCTGCCATGATTCGGAAGGAAGTAAAGTTAGTTGGAAGGACAGGGAAAGAAAGACAATGATTTTCCTGTATATGGGACTTAAAGATACACAGCAAGGTAGCAGTGAAGGACCCAGGGAAATGCCATGGGAGAATTAATTCACAGAACTTAGTTTGCACTTGTGTGTGTGTGTGTGTGTGTGTGTGTGTGTGTGTGTGTGTGTGTTGTGAGGGAGGTTTGAAAGGAACGGGCACTGGGGATCTTGGGGAAAGAGGTGGGTATAATGATGACAGGTGTGGTGTTAGAATTATGTACACGTGAAACCATCATTAAAGGTATTGTAAATCAGAGTATCTTAGTCAATTAAAAAAAAATCAAAGTTTAAAAAATGAAATAAAAACCAGGTTCCTCTGTTCTTAGGCATAGCATTCATCACTCGAACTCATTGCCTTGTACATTTAATGCACTTGCTCTACTGCATCTTCCGTCCCCAAACATAACTCTGACTTGGGAACATTCTATTTGATTATGATCTACCAGTTGTCACGTAATAAGAAACTGAGAACTTAAGTTTTCTTATCTATAAAACAAGAGTAGTAATATCTATATTATTGGTAGTTTTGATGAAATCATGTGGGAAAAGCACAGGGCATAAATGAACAATATATATTACTTATTTTTCACTGAAATCTCTTATTTATGGCACTAATGGAATTTTTTCTTTTAAAGGAATAGACGTAGCACCATTATATTTTAATCTCTATATATCTGTTAAGTCCATGGAGCTTCCAAAGCGCAAACAAGTTATTTGCCGAGGATCTGATGATGATTATTCTTTTTGCCGAGCCATGAAAGGAGGTAAGCGTCAATTATTATTATTGTCAAGACAGCATAATACTTCATGAAGTATAATATATCGGTTTTCGTTTCAATAATTTTGTGAAAACTGATTCTGCAATCAGTTTTATGATAATGCAAAGATCTGTTTATAATAATGAGACTTTTTAAAATTCAGAGTTTTTACTTTTCATAGCTAAAACAATACTTTACAGTTAATTTTTTAAAATTAAGACACCTTGATTTAAAAGGTCATTCAAAGCTGAGTTTCAGGCATACAGTATGCCGACAACAATTCCATCACCTGTGTCCTCTTCCCTCCACCAATGTGTCCAGGTTCTCTCCCACCCCCAGCCTGCCTCCTTGACAGGAACATTATTTCAGTTTTTTTTTTCTTTTTGGGTCACACCAGCCATGCACAGGGGTTACTCCTGGTTCTGCACTCAGGAATTACTCCTGGAGGTGCTCAGGGACCATATGGGATGCTGGGAATTGAACCTGGGTCTGCCGCATTCAAGGCAAATGCTCTACCCGCTGTGCTGTTGCTCCAGCCCCAAGTTTTTTTCTTTCTTCTTCTTCTTCTTTTTTTTTTTTTTTTTTTTTTTTTTTTTTTTGCTTTTTTGGGTCACACCTGGCGATGCTCAGGGCTGACTCCTGACTCTGCACTCAGGAATCACTCCTGGCAGTGCTCAGGGGACCATATGGGATGCTGGGATTTGAACCCGGGTCGGCTGTGTGCAAGGCAAACGCCCTACTCACTGTGCTATCACTCCAGCTTCTCTTTCTTTCTTTTTTAATTTCAGTTGTTTTGTTTTGTTTTGGCCTACAACCAGCGATGCTCAGGGGTTACTTCTAGTAGAGCTTAGGGGACCAGATGGGATGCTGGGGATTGAACCCTGGTAGACTGCATGCCAGGCAAATAGCCTATCCGCTCTACTGTCATTCTGGCTCCTGATTGCTGTAGTTTGTATCTCTTGCTCCTGGTGTTGTTAGTTCTGTGGTTCAGATATAATCTCTATACCACACTGTTTTCTTTGTGCTCAGTGATCAGTTTGGGCAGAGTTCAGAGAATTATAAAATGCCAGAGATTAAACCTGAGCCTTGCACATTCAAATTTCCTGGCTCTGCATAATTATTTTAAAGTTGTATGTATAGTAGGTTAAATTGTTTTCTTTGTAAGAGTCCAGTTATTTAAAAATATTTTTATTTTTAAAATTGAAGTCACTGGGGCTGGAGTGATAGCACAGCGGGTAGGTCGTTTGCCTTGCATGCGGCCGACCCGAGTTCGATTCCCAGCATCCCATATGGTCCCCCAGGCACCGCTAGGGGTAATTCTGAGTGCATGAGCCAGGAGTAACCCCTGTGCATTACCGGGTGTGACCCAAAAAGCAAAAATAAATAAATAAATAAAATAAAATTGAAGTCACTGTGACTTACAATTTTATAGTACTAGTAACAAAAGAGTTTTAATGCATCCAACATTCTATCCACCCACTCTTAATCAGTGTCCACTTCCCTCCGCCATCATTTCAGGGTCCCCCTCATCCTTCCCATCACCCCCAACTCCACCTCCACTATCTCAGCAACCTCCTTTCCCAGGTCCCCCACCTCATTTCACTGTCGTGATAAACTCAAGTTCTGTAGATAAGTTCTTCGGTTCTGTTGCCTTTTTTTTTTTTTTGATTTTTGGCTTTTTGGGGTCACACCTGACGATATACGGGGTGACTCCTGGCTCTGCCCTCAGGAATTACTCCTGGTGGTGCTTGGGGGACCATATGGGATGCCGGGGATCTAATCCGGTTCGGCCGCACCCAAGGCAAATGCCCTACTGCTGTACTATAGCTCCGACCCCAGGTTCTGTTGCTTTTGATCTTATGTTATTCCATGACATAAAAACAGTCGTAAACTTTAAAATATTAATTTGTTTTTGGTAGTGTTGGGATCAAACCGAGGGCCTCAAACAGGCAAGGCAAGTGCTGTACCATTGAGCTGCATCTTCAGTACCAATTTATTTACTATTATTAAGGTTTTTTTGTGTTAGGTTTTAGGATAAAGATTAGGGTTACATTTAGGGTTAGGGTGACATTCAATTAATGATTTAGCTCTTTGAGTAAATAATGCATGTGGTTCAGAATTCCGAGTACAGACACTGTAGAGGGAAGCTTCTTCCTTAGTGTATATTGGTTTATTTAACTTTCTCCTAGAGGGCATTTAGCTTCCTTCTGATTTTTCATAAATATTATTCTAATAACCGTATTATATATGAATATTCATATATTATTTTCATTTCATTAAACATTTTTAGTGTTTTTGTTTTGTTTTGTTTGCCACACTAGGTTGTGCTCAGAGCTTACTCCTGGCTCTGTACTTAGGCATCATTACTAATGGGCTCTCGGGAACATAAGGTGGGAATCAAACTTGGGTTGGCCACCTGCAAGACAAGCACCTTCCCAGCTCTACCCTCTCTCTGGTCCTATATAATCTGCAGGGGCCTCAGATATGCTGCTGGTTGGATCTGGGGACTCTCTCAGTGATTCCCAGTCAACTGCCAGTGGTTCAATGTAAAGGTTTGAAGATGAAGTGCTACTTGGGCTGCAGGACTTTCTGGGGCCACCCTTATGATACTGCTCTGGGACTTTTAAGGCTATAGCAATAGTGTTTGGGGGCTATGTGGTGCAGGGGATCAAACTGGGGTCAGCTGCATGCCTGTAGTAACTCAGAAGCCTGAACTTTTCTTGTATTTTATTTTATTTTTTTTTACATTTTTTAATTATATTTTTTTCTTTTTTGGGTCACACTCGTTGATGCACAGGGGTTACTCCTGGCTCTGCATTAAGGAATTAGTCCTGGCGGTGCTCAGGGGACCATACGGGATGCTGGAAATCAAACCCGGGTCGGCTGCATGCAAGGCAAACGCCCTACCCGCTGTGCTATCGCTCCAGCCCCTTTTTCTTGTATTTTAAATGCAACTAGTTTCAGATTTAGAAGAAGTTTGAGATAACTCCTAGAAAGATTTTCAAGTTTAAATGGCTTGAATCTATTTGTGATTTTTTTATACTGAAGGCCAAATGTTTTTCTAAAGGGTTGTACCCATACATACGTGATCTGTCCTGCAATGTGTAAGTGTAGGAGTTATTTTGCTTGTTTGTTTTGGCTTTTTATGGGTGACACTGGGCAATGCTCAGGGGTTACTCCTGGCTCTGTACTCAGGAATTACTCTTCGCGGTGCCCAGGAGACACTATGGGATGCCGGAGATCGAACCCGGGTTAGCCACATGCAAGGCAAATGCGCTATGTATTATGGCTGCAGTCCCTTGTGCCATTGGTTTTGATAGTGTATTTATCTATTTACTGTGACAGAAGAACTTAGGTAAGACACCAGAAAATATTCACAGTCACGATCACGATCATCCTGTTGTTCGTCGATTCCCTCGAGCAGGCACCAGTAATGTCTCCTTCTTCCTAGCCCTGAGATTTTGAAAGAGCCATATTCAATGCTCTTTCAGGGTTAGGAGAATGAGACCCATCATTATTACTGGTATTTGGCATATTGAGTACGACACAGGAAGTTTGCCAGACTCTGCTGTGCGGGCAGGATACTTTCAGTAGCCTGCCAGGTTCTCCAAAGGAAAAATGAGATAATAAGATGTTGCGAGGCCACGAATGCAGCCGTGCTTCCGGGAGCTGGGTTTTATAGTCTCTGCGTCTTGGCTGTTGATGGGACCAACCTGGCGCTGGCGTCAGCTGGTGGGTGTGACACCGACCTACTGGAAGATGGGGGATCTGGGTGGAGAAGGCCCAGTCCCAATCCGAGCAGGCTTGGAGATCTCAGCTCTGGGACCCACATGCCTGGGTTCCTCTGCCAATTCCTTCATGCATGAGGCTTGTCTGGATGTGTGGAGAGTGGTCTCAGCCTGGCTGTGGCTGGTTCTGGAGGTCTTCGGCTGCTGGGGCTCTGCTCCGGGTCGGGGGGAGGGAAATTCAACCCGCCTCCCTCCAAGGATTCCTGGAGAGGACAGCCAGGCATGGGGGCAGGAGACTGCCAGAAAATATTATTCTTTTTTTAAAAAAAAAGAACCCAAGTTGACCACATGCAATGTTCTACATGCTGTACTATTGCTCCGGCCCTGAAAATATTATTCTTGAATCTGAAGACACTAGAGGCTGAAGAGGACGGGCACTCCCTGGAAATAGCACTTGTAAACCTAGGCATAGAAGAAATATGGTTTATTTGGAGAGCAGTGATTTTGGTTTTGGTTTTGTTTTTGCAGAGTTGTGACTCAAACGTAGAGCTGCACACATTGCGAGGCAAAGACAAATGCTTGATGCTGAGACACATTCCAGTCCAGTATATAGATGTATATATAATATATAATATTATATATAATATATATTATATACAATCTCGAGCAGATTGTGCTTATAGGGATTTGCTGGAGATGAACCTAGATGGGGGGCAGGATTGAGTATGTAACGTATACAACATAAAATATTGGCCTGAATCCTATTGTCGGTGGGCAGAGATTTCCATTTCAAACACATTTACTGAGATTTTCATTTCAAGCGTAACTAGTGTCCATATGGAAGGGGGAGAGGGTTAGCCGAGGTGGGAAACTTGGGGAGGAGAAAGGGGGTAAGTGAGAGACCAGGAGGGCTGGTCAAAGCTGGTGACCTGGGAAGGGAAAGGCAGAGATAGAAGAGAGAAGCACTTTGGGAGAGAGGATGTGCTGTGTGATCCGAGTGGGCAGTCAGAGATTTGGTAAACTCAAAAGTCCCCTGAGGGATGGTGACAGGACAGTTGTGTTTATTTGAGTGGGTTTGGAATCCTGTAAAAGAAAGGGCGGACCTTTCATGTAAGGAGGGAGTTATGGTTTGAACATGTAGAGTTCGATGTAATTTTGGAACATGGAGATAAACATGCTCATCTGGCAGCTGAGCATATGGGTACAGAGCTCAATATGTTCTGATGTAATGTTCTGACACCATGAGGAGACCTTGGGTGTTTGGGGTATCAAGTTAGTGAGTACCATATGTACCCCCTTTAAAAATAACTTTCCGGGGCCAGTAAGATAGTACAGGGGATAGGGCATTTGCCTTGCACATGGCCAGCCCGGTTTTGATCCCTGGAATCCCATATGGTCCCCAAAGCACCATCAGGAGTAATTCCTGAATGCAGAGCCAAGAGTAACCCCTGAACATCGCTGGATGTGTCTCAAAAAGCAAAAAACAAAACAAAAAATACCTTTCCTTGTTGTATGTGTTATAAGAGTCATATACTTTTAAAAAATATTAAATATATAAAAGATCTAAGAAGAGTATGACAACAATAAAAATACGTATGTACACATACATAATATATACATATAAACATGTATATACATAAATACGTATATAACATAGTATTTGTTCTTGTGCTGCTTGGGGGGGTCACAGCCAAGGTGGGTTCTCAAGGACCTGGTTGCACTCCAGAGTTAGACCGAAGAATGAAGAGATAGTACAGTAGGTAGGGAAATTGCCTTGCACCTGGCTGACCTAGCTGAATCCCTGATATCCCATCTGGTGTCTGGAGCACCACCAGGAGGGATTCCTGAGCACAGAGCCAGGAGAAAGCTCTGTACATTTCTGGGTCTGGCCCAAAACCAAACCAAACAAACAACAAGAAAGAGAACCTCGGGCTTCACAGATGCATGGCCTTTGCAGTACTTCTTGGAGCCTTATCGCTAGTGCCCAGGATATAAGATTTAGAACACAGTTAGAAGGCCAGCAGCCAAAAAATAAAAATAATCAATAAGATTATTATCTTTTGTACAGGAGCCAAAATTTGTTTCTTTCAAAATCATGCATTTGGATAAACAGGTGGATATTTCAATGGCATCTTTACTACAGATCATCAGCTCTGTTTCCAAGCTCTTTTGAGGGTTTGCTGTCACGAGTCTCAAGCTGGCTGACTTAGCACAGTAGAGACTTATTGTCTAGCGGTTCTAGTATGTCCATTCCCAAGGTACTAGCAGGCTCAGGCTTCCTCTGGGCAAGGACCTGGCCCAGGCTTCTCCCAGATTCCAGCAGCAACAGTCATCCCTGACTTGTAGGTGGCAAATTTTTCCTGCTCCCTTCACACAATTTTTTTTTTTACATCACACCCTGTGATGCTCAGGGGTTACTCCTTGCTCTACACTCAGGAATTACTCCTGGCAGTGCTTGGGGGACCATATTGGATGCTGAGGATTGAACCCTCCTGCAAGGCAGACGCCCTACCTGCTCTACTATCGCTCTGGCCCCAACTCCCTTCACAGTTTTCTTCTATGCATATGTCTGTGTCCAGTATCACCCCGTTGCATAAAGATGTAGTCCAATTGGGTTCTATTGGGCTACTTATCACAAGTTTCAGCTGTGCACAAAGTTAAATGCTTCCCTGCCTAAGGTCACTGAGTTGAGCAGCTAGGATGAAGCTCTGGCTACTCTGAGGCAGAGCCATTGCTCTGACCCCAAATGCATCTTCTCCTTTGGTCCTTCCAGCGTTTTTCCCATTGCCCTTTGTGCTTGCAAAGGTTTCTTTGTGAGTCTGTTCCCAATAGGCCTTTACTCTTTGAGATAAGGGACAGTTTTGTATTCATCCACATCTCCCCGCACCCTGGCACATAGCAGGATTTCAGTACATTTTTGTTAAGGATTATATTTGAGTTAGATTGACCTTCAGAGAAAGATCCTAAGATTGTGAAGATACAACAACCAGTTTACTAGATTTAAGAACCAACATCCTAGTGCATGAATATTCCTAATAAGGATATGTACAGGAGCAAACAAGTAAACTTAAAAAAAAATAAGAATAGTTAGGAACTGGATTGCAGACAGTGCACTTGTGTTGCAAAGGACCAGCCAAGGTTTGATCCACACACAGCATCACATACAGTTTCCCGATCCCACCAGGAGTGGTCCCTGAGCACTGAGCCAGAAGTAAGCCCGGAGAACCACTAGGTGTGACCCAAACAAAAACAAAATATGAGAATAGTTATACACATACGGACCTATTCATTTGCTGTTTATTAATTTCTTTAACCAGTTCTTTGAACAATAACCTAACAATTTTGCATTTGACTATTTACATTACTTAAAATATTTTTGGGGGGCCTGCTGGAGAGATAGTATGGGAGCTAAGGCACTTGCCCTGATTGTGACTGACTCCAGTTCAGATCCCCGGAACCACAAATAATCCCCCTAAATGCCACCAGGAATCACTCCTGAGTACAGAGCCAGGACTAGGTCCTGAGCATTGTGGGGTGTGGCCCTGGATACCTGCCCCCACTTTGGCCCCAATTATTATTAATTATTTATTTTTATTTTTTTGCTTTTTGGGTCACACCCAGTGATGCACTGGTGTTACTCCTGGTTCATGCACTCAGGAATTACTCTTGGTGGTGCTCGGAGGACCATACGGGATGCTGGGGATTGAACCCAGGTTGGGCCGCATGCAAGGCAAACGCCCTCCCCGCTGTGCTATCACTCCAGCCCCTTATTATTAATTTTTTGCCACCACCTTTTAGTCTTAACCTTGCTAGAGATTCTAAACATTTCAACATTAACCTTATCTTCTAGTTTCTTATTATGTTGTTTATTAGGTTCACTGGAGTGTGATTTTCCTTGTGCTTCTGACACAAACTATAAAATCAGGCCCACAGCTGGGCATTTTATATTATTTATTATTTACTAGGGCATTTGCCTTGCGCACAGCCAGGCTGGCCGAGCCAGGTTCGATTCCTCTGCCCCTCTTGGAGAGCCTGGCAAGTTACCGAGAGTATTCAATATGCCAAACACAGTAACAAGAAGTCTCACAATGGAGACGTTACTGGGCCCGCTCGAGTAAATTGATGAACAACGGGAGGACAGTGTTTATAAAGTAGTTCACAATATTTGATTACATTTAATGTTTTAACACCAATCCCACCACCAGGTTACCTTCCCACCACCATATTTCAGTTGTTTCCATTCCAAACCCTAATCTAAGCCCCCCCCCAAAAAACGAAATAACTTATTTTGTATTGTTATGAAAGACCACTGAAAATGCTCCAAAAAAGTTTCCTTAGGGAAAAATGTGTGAAGATTGTTGTATTTCACCCAGGGGCCATTAAGCCCTTCTGTAAGAGATTATTAACATGTTAAAGGTTGGACCTTTTGTACATATATATATGTGTGTGTGTGTGTGTGTGTGTGTGTGTGTGTGTGTGTGTTTGTGTGTTCATGTGTATGCAAATATATGTATCTGTAAAAAAAAAATTCCCTCTAAAATTTGTTGCCTCCTATTTTATTTTATTTTTTTCTTTTTTGGGTCACACCTGGCAATGCACAGGGGTTACTCCTAGCTCTGCACTCAGGAATTACTCCTGGTGGTGCTCAGGGGACCATATGGGATGCTGAGATTTGAAACGGGTCTGTCTTGTGCAAGGCAAACTCCCTACCCACTGTGCTATCACTCCAGTCCCTGCCTCCTACTTTAAACCCCATCAAGTGAGGTTCTTGGAGCATGAGTTGTGTGAGGTATGAGATGTCCAGGAATAGGTTCACTCGTGGTGAGGCTCGGCCTGAGTGTGGAGAGTGTCCATGAGCATGGTGGTGGATGAGTTCTGGAGCTTTTCAGCTGCTGGGGCTGGGTCCCTTGGGGTAGGGAGGGGCCTCACCTGACCCCCTCTGAGGCAACAGGTTGGGCATTTTAATAGAGATTACACATTTAGTTTCTCAGTGGTGGCACTGGAAGGAAACCTTGCTTCCTAGCTGCCTTTTACATCTCTTCTTCTCCTTTAAGAATATATTCTATAGCCGAGATAAGTACCAGGAGGATTACTCCATGGCTTTGAGGACAGACGCACATGCTAGGGGAAAAGGCAGCTCAGATAGAGAAGGGAGCGCCAAATAATGGGTGTTGGGAGGTTCCTCTCAGGATGGGAAATGATTGATGAGAGTAGACTATAGACCGAACAAGATTGCCACTCAATGTCTCTTTTGCAAACCACAGCACTCAAAAGGAGAGAGATAACAAAAGGGAATGCCCTGCCACAGAGGCAGGGTGGGATGGGGGGATGGGGTGTGTGTGGGAGGGATACTGGGACTGGTGCTGGTGGAGAATGAGCACTGGTGGAGGAATGGGTATTCGATCACTGTATAACTGAAACCCAACCACAAAACTTTGTAAGTCTACAACTGTACCTCATGATGTTTCACTAATAAAAATTTAAGAAAAGAAAGAATATATTCTAGTGTCTCTGTAAGCTAAGTTAAATATAGTTTAAAATACACATATATAACTGGTGGTGAAGCCTTTTAATACCAGTATGTCCACCATTTATTTATTCATGATTGAAACAAATGGGCCCTAAAGGATAAGATATAAAGGCTGGTGCAGAAAAAAGCTTGAGTGGTATGGCAGAGAAAAGCCCCAGGAGAATTCTTCTTAGGGTTTATTTTTTATTTCTCTACAACTTTACTTTGGACTCTATCTGCTAGTAGTAAAAGTGTTAAAGGTACAGTTCATACCATCTCACCCAAATATCTAATGATGACCAGTAACTTTATGTATTTTGTTTGCAGAGACTGTGAATACAACAGTATCATTCGCCTATAAGGGAATTTTTTTTTCTAAGGTATTGTTTGAGTCATTCTGTACTTTTTAAACCTTTTGCTATGGTGTATGTGTTAAGAATTTGAAACAGAGGCTGGGGAGATAGTACAGTGGTAAACCACTTGCTTTACACATGTCCCATCTGGGTTCTATCCCCGACATCCCATCCCATATGGTCCCCTAGCACTGCCAGGAGTAACCTGAGTGTTGCTGGCTCAAAAAACCAACAAAAGTTTAAGAATATGAAAGAAGCAATGAACAAATTCTAAAAATAGCAGTTCAAAAAGAAGTCCAAAGCTTAAAAAACAGCTTTGAGTATTTTCTATTTCCTTCATAGACTATAAAAACATGGAAACATTTATGTAAAATAATATGGAACTATATCTTTAAAGTAAAGCTTTTTTTTCATAAAAGAAAGCTATTTTATACTTTATTTTCTGCCCCCCCATTACATGGCTAAAACTATGAGAATGTTTATTATTAAAATGTTGAATGATCTTTTGGGTGTTAGCATTATATCACCTACTATATGTAACTCAGTAACTGCTTCCATGAATATTGACAAGTTAACTGTAGTTATTTGCATCAGGAAATGATGATGCAAATGTAATTCTAAGAATGAAATTTTACACTTCAGTTTTTGTGACTGTTAAAATAAGCGTTAATGGTGTTTCAGCTTCTTTGTTACAAATTAGATCTAACGTTTGAAAATCTCAGGTTAATAATGCACAAAAGGGAAAGGAGAGAGAAAGCAAGAAAGAAAGTTCATTCTGAAGAGGGAGACTGGAAGTGGGGGGATAGGAGGTTGGGGGAAACAGGGGACACTGATGGTGGGAAATGTACACTGGTGGAAGGATGGGTGCTGGATCATTGTATGACTGAAACCCAATTATGAACAACTTTGTAATGGTCTATCTCATGGATATTCAATAAAAAAATTAAAAAATAAAGTAATGCGTAGTTCATGCCCAATTCAATCAGCTTGATCAATGGCTGAATAAATAGCAGTGCTCTTACATTGAAAAAAAAAAGAAAATCTCAGGTTAGTTTAAATTTTTTGTTAAACTCCATCATCTCTTAATTGGGAAATAAATGAGTTTTATGCTCTCTGACTTCAAAGGTGTACTCTAGAGTGTCATCTTATTAGAAAACTGAGAACAAGAGAACCAATTTAAATAATGACTTTTTCCCTGGAAGATGAAACTCTTATGAAAAAGTCTTACCACAGAGGCATCTAATGTGCTTTTTCTTATATTTCTGATCCCTCCTTTTAGGGACAATATAAATGTGTAGCAGAAGCCGTCGCTGGGATTGAGGAGCGAACACTCTTCTGTTTGAATGTTACCATCTTACAGCCTTGAATTCAGTTAGAATAAATCATGTCTCTTATTGTTTCAAAGGTTTGATTATTTACTTAATTTTTGGTTGTATTGGTTTGCTATGACTGTCATAAAAACACCACAGCTGGGGCAATGTCAACCAATGTTTACTTCAGTCTTCTTACACCTGCAGATGGGCACCTTCCTCCATCCTGGTCCATGCTCTGCAGTTCTAACTAGAGTGTAGAGCTGTGGTTTCCAGCTGTTCTCGCCTGTGGGCTCGCACTACTCTGTAGACCGGTGCTTGGGAACTATGGGTGCAAACAACAAAAATGTATTTTCTTGGTTCTTGGAGACTGGGAGTTTGTGATGAAAGGGTATGTGTATGTGTGTGTCTGTCTGTGTGTGTGGGGGCAGTGTTTCTTCTAAGGCTTCTATCCTTAGCTCATAGACAGTTTTATTTTCTTTCCTTTTTATTTTTGGGCCACACCCAGCTGTGCTCAGGGATTACTCCCTGGCTCTAGCAGCCTTGGGGACCATATGAGATGCTAGGGACTGAACCTGAGTCCCCTACCTGTCGTAGTATTTCTCCATCTCTGGCCACTGTCCTATCTCTATGACTTGTGAACAATACCATTTATACATTTATTTTTATTGAATCACTGTGAGATATGCAGTTACAAACTTGTTCATGACTGGGTTTCATTATACAATGTTCCAACACTTGTCCCTTCATAAGTGTACGTTTCCTACCACCAACATCCAGTTTCCCTTCTGCTAACAACCCCTACCCCCGACTCATCCAGCATGCACCTGTGGCTGGCACTTTTCTTCTCTCTCTCTCATTCTCTCTCTCACCCCCCACTCCCTTTCCATCTGGACATTATGGTTTACATTATAGGTACTGAAAGGTTATAAGATCAATGCTAGTTGAAAGAATCTTATAGGAACCAGGAGATAGTACAGCAGTTAGGGCACATGCCTAGCACGTTTCCAACTTGGGTTAGATTCCTGGCAACACATGGTCCCAGACATTGATGTGTTTGGCCCAGAGGCTCCCCCAGCACAGATGGGTCTGGCCTGGGATGCTTCCAGCACCACAGAGTCTCAGCAGCATTGTATTCTTACATTGAGCTGTTGGTCAGCAGCAGGGAGCCCCTGAGCCTCCCAAATCCCACTTGGGAGAGTTTGCCATAAAATAAAGACCTTTTTTCTATTTTACCCCTCTTTTTTGGGACATGTCAATGATGCTCAAGGGTTACTCCTGGCTTTGCACTCAGGAATCACTCCTGGCAGTGCTGGGGGCGGGGGAGGGGGACCACATGGGATGCTGGGAATCGAACCCGGATCGCCCACGTGCAAGGCAAACGCCCTATCCACTGTGCTATTGCTCCAGCCCCAAAATAAAGGCTTTCTGGGCTGGAGAGATAATACAGTATATAGGGTACTTGCCTTGCACGCGACTGACCTGGATTTGATCTCTGGCATCCCATACGGTCTTCTGAGCCCACTAGAAGAGATTCCTAAAACACAGAGCCAGGATTAACCTCTGAGCCTCCTCCTCACCCTCTCCAAAAGACGATCTTCAGATATGTTTTTATTTGTATTTGGGCCATGCCCAGCAGTGCTCAGGGCTGACTCCTGGTAGTGCTTAAGGGACCATAATGGGGATGGAACTGGGGTGGGTTACTTGCAAGGCTAGCACCTTAACTCCTGTCCTATCTTTCTGTAGGATAACGTTGGTTTGTCCTTTTAGCCTTGCCAAGGGAACTTAGGTTTATCTGGTTACACCCATTACAGTGCTCCCATTCCTTTGTTTATCTGTAAATTCTTCTCTGTACTCTCCTCCCCAATCAGTTTATCACCTTTTCCCTAATCAGATTCTGTTAACTGTAATACTGTAAGAGTATTCTAAGTATGCAGCCAACATGGCCAACCCAAGTTCGATTCCTCCGCCCCTCTCGGAGAGCCTGGCAAGCTACCGAGAGTATCTCACCCGCACTGCAGGGCTTGGCAAGCTATCTGTGACATACTCAATATGCCAAACACAGTAACAAGTCTCATGATGGAGACGTTACTGGGCCCGCTCGAGCAAATCGATGAACAACGGGAGGACCGGGGGATTTAAGTACACTGAACTTATATTGTAAGTTATGTCTTTTGCATAGTTTACCTTAAAGCAATGTCCTTTTTGTATGGACACAGGAAGACAGTTAATATTATGCTTTTGTAACTTGGGAGTTAATTGACTCAGAATAACATTCACTCCTGGACATTTGCTTTCTCAACTCAGTTGCCCTTAGTCCTAGCACCGCAAAAGCAGGGTCTCAACAAGGGACTTAATGGACCCAGGGCAAGCTGTGAGCTACCCTGGCATCGAAATGTGCCAGGCCAAGCGCTATAATACTTAACTATAAGTTAAGAGCACGTTCATGGACAAACTCTGTCATGACCCAAAAGAGGTAACTGAATAAAGGACCTGCTGGGATTAGGAAGACTAACCTGGCCTGAGGACTGTGGTCTGGAATATATAGTGAGATGTCCCCAGGAAGAACCAAGCTTTAAGCTTGATATATCTCTTATTGTGCTCATGTAGAATGACATTGCTATAAATATTAGAAGCAAAGGTACTACAACTATTTAAGTGGATTACTAGCTGAGGAAAGAAGAAAGCAACACACCCTGGATGGAATCCTGCCTTTGAGTGTATCTCCTAGTAATCTGGAGTAATCTCCTTAAAATGAGATTTTTGTCTTTGAATTAATCTCCTGGAGGAGTGGCCTTACCTCTCTTTGTTGATGTGTTAATGTTCATCCCCACCTTTGTATCACTACCCGAGTGATTGCTACCTAAAACTAAGACTGTAAGATCAGAAGGGGAATCTGGATCCAGTCAGGGGAAGCAGAGAAAGTCAGGGAATCATCGGATCTAGAAGCAGGTGAAAGAGAGAGTGAGAAGCAGAGGAGAATCAGAGTCAGAAGGAGAGACAGTTGTGGAGACAGGAGAGAGAGAAAGAGAGAGAGAGAGAACATCCTTTCACATGTAATCTCCACACGCATGGGGATTTTCACAACCCCGTGTGAGGCCCCGATCCAGTGAATATACACATTTTTCCATCCCACAAAAGGTAATTTTAGAGTTATGAGAACATTGTCTTTTAATTCTTTCTTTTTTTGAACATGGTTAAGACTTACTGTATTTTATTTTTATTTTTTAATGAATCACTGTGAGATACAGCTACAGACTTACAAATTTTCATGCTTATGTTTCAGTCATATAAAGATCGAGTACCCAACCCTCCACCAGTGCCCTTTCTCCACCACCAGTGTTCCCAGTATCCCTCCCCTGACCCCCCAAACCCTGCCTCTGTGGCAGGCAGATTCCCTTTTACTCTCTCCTTTAGGGTGTTGTGGTCTGCAATGCAGGTATTAAGTGACCATAATGTTCGGTCTATAGTCTACTTTCAGCACATATCTCCCATCCCAAGCAGGTTCTCCAAGCATCCTTTACTTGGTGGTCCCTTCTCTGTCTGAACTGCCTTTCCCCCCAGCATGTGAGGCCAGCTTCCAAGCCTTGGAGCAATCCTCCTGGTCCTTGTCTCTACTATCCCTAGGTGTTAGTCTCCTATTTTGTCACTTTATATTCCACAAATGACTGCAGTATTTCTATGTCTGTCCCTGTCTTTCTTACTCATTTCACTTAGCATGATTCTCTCCATGTTAATCCACTTATATGCAAATTTCATCTAATAGCTGCCTGGTATTTCATTGTGTAGGTGTGCCAAAGTTTCTATTGTCAGTCATCTGTTCTCGGGCACTTCCAGATTCTGGTTATTAATTCTTTCTTTTTGGCAGGGAGAACTTCCCAAGAAATGTTCATGGGGTCCAAGGATTACTCCTGGTGACAAATGACCAGTTGGGCCGAATGGCTCAATTCTTTTTTTTTTTTTTTTTTTTTTTTTCCCCTTTATTTTATTTTATTTTTTTTAAAGTTGTAGATTTACAATTTTTTGTGCTTTGGTTTCAATTATACAATGATCAGATACCCATCCCTCCACCAGTGCCCATTTTCCACCACCATGGATAATATCCCTCCCACCCCCATCCCCCCACCCCCCCATCTCTGTGGCAGGGCAATCCCCTGTGTTCTCTCTCTCCTTTTGGGTGTTGTGGTCTGCAAAAGAGGCATTGAGTGGCAAACATGTTCAGTCCATAGTCTACTTTCGACATGCATCTCCCCTCCTGGGAGGATCTTCCAAACATCCTTTATTTGGTGCTCCCTTCTCTATCTGAATAGCCCTTTCCTCTAGGATACCCGGCTGGCCTCTAAGTTATGGAGTAATCCTCCTGGTGCTGATCTCAGCTATTCTTGGGTATTAATCTCATACTTTGTTACTTTATATCCCCCAGATGAATGCAATCTTTCTATGTCTATCCCTCTCTTTCTGACTCATTTCGCTTAGCATGATACTTTCCATATTGTACCACTTGTTTGTAAATTTCATGACTTCATCTTTTCTAAGAGCTACATAGTACTCCATTGTGTAGATGTACCAAAGTTTCTTTAACCAGTCATCTGTTCTTGGGCATTCAGGTTTCTTCCAGTTTCTGGCTATTGTAAAGAGTGCTGCAATGAACAAACAAGTGCAGATGTCACTTCGACTATACATTTTTGCCTCTCTGGGATATATTCCCAGGAGTGGTATTGCTGGGTCAAATGGGAGCTCAATTTCTAATTTTTTGAGAATCGTCCATACTGTTTTCCAGAAGGGCTGAACCAGTGGACATTCCCACCAACAGTGAAGGAGTGTCCCTTTCTCGCCACATCCACGCCAGCATCGGTTGCTTTTGTTCTTTTGAATGTGGGCCAGTCTCTGAGGTGTGAGATGGTATCTCATTGTGGTTTTGATCTGCATCTCCCTGATGATTAATGATGTAGAGCATTTTCTCATGTGCTTTTTTGCGAATGGCTCAATTCTTGGTCTGGCAAGGCAGGCAGAGTGATGCTAGATGGCCATCAGGCAGGACTATGCCTGGTGGTCCCTCCATGGTCATTTAAT